AAATCTTGCATTCCTGCCCAATGGAGCTGAAACCCAGGCATTGTTCCCCAGGACAGGGGTGGCTTTTCTGTCCTCCATATCGGCAGGGATGGCATTGTGGAGTTAGTCAGCAAAAGGGGGGAGAGAGCGCATTTGATCATTTGATGTAAGGCAAGGCGTGAATTCAAACAGGACAAGGAGGAGGGCTGGAAATGCAAGATTCCTCCCTCTGGAAGGAAATCTATCGAAATTCAACATGGTAGACCATTTGGGAAAAGAAAGGAGGAAGGGTCCTGGGTTTGCTAAGGGCTGCCAGAACCATACATCCAATCCTTGGAAAGATATGACAAAAAGACAATGAAGTCAGAGCTAGGTCAATAATCATAACAACAACAACAACAAGGATTTGTGCCATGCATGAGCTGCCCACCCCAAATCAAAGACCCGTTGGAGCATTCAATGGTTTCAGCTCATCCAGGAAGAAGCAAGGAGAGTACATCTACACAGTAGAATCAATGCAATTTGATCCCATTTTGGTTGCCACGGCATGTGGGAGTTGTAGTGTGGTGAGGCCCACAGCCCTCTTGGGCAGAGAAGGGGAAAGACCTTATAAACTACTCCATTGGAGCACCCGGTGGTGCAGTGGGTTAAACCCCTGTGCCGGCAGGACTGAAGACCAGCAGGTCGCAGGTTCAAATCTGGGGAGAGGCAGATGAGCTCCCTCTATCAGCTCCAGCTCCTCATACGGGGACATGAGAGAAGCCTCCCACAAGGATGATAAAAACATCGAATCATCCGGCCGTCCCCTGGGCAACATCCTTGCAGACGGCCAATTCTCTCACACCAGAAGTGACTTGCAGTTTCTCAAGTCGCTCCTGATATGACAAAAAAACGACTCCATTTAGCCTGAAAGGTGGTTGTCTTTTGGGAGGGGTTACCTTCCTCCACCACCCTCCTCCCAATATAATATTAGATAGATAGATAGATAGATAGATAGATAGATAGATAGACAGACAGACAGACAGGCGACACAATCTTTCAATTGCAAACAGAACTTTTCTTTCCCCTGCTTCTGAAGTATATTGCATTGATTTATGGAGATAATCTTCTCTCAAACACTCCATAAAGAAGCCTCACTTGCCAAAGGGGCTTTTTCAGTGCAAGAAGGAAGTGTGAAAGGGAAAGAGAAGTTGCAGGAGAAACTTTGCAGAAGGAAAAAAATGGGTTCAATTTCTGTATTGGAGCCACTGGAAATCTGCATTCCTTCCTTAATAATATTGTTTTAATAGCATCCTAATATTCAGGTTAATCCATCGTTACTTTTTTAAAACCTTTGTCAGGATTTTGTGATCAGGAAGGGAAGAAGAGAGGTCCTGCATGGAGACCACACTGGGATAGGGAATTTTATATATATATGTGTTTCATTTTTTTTTGTTGGTTCTAGCCAATGTTGACACACTCTTTAAAGGGTCTTTCCGCCTGACGTCACGGGGTGGAGTTTTCATGTGTTTGCTTTCCTCTGGCTGTTCAAGGCCTTTGCTATGACCAAAGCAACAGCAAGCGGGAGGAACTATGTTGAATTGGTTGAGACATTAATTGAAAAGTGATTGCAAAATGTGTTGCAGGATGTCCGGTAAAAAACCCCAAAGTTTTTGCAATTGAATAAACTTTTTCCATGTTTGTATGATAGAACCAATTAGGAAATGACATTGATAACCCAGAAACAAAAGTAATGTTACATAGTGTAACCCAGTTCAAAGCAGATGATTCGAGATCAGATACTGGATGATATGGAAGTGTAGATCCAAACCCATGTTGTGCCCCACCTTGGCGCGTAAGGAAAGGCAAGAAATAATAAATAAATAAAAATAGTATTATATGTTGTCAAAGGCTCATTGGGTTGCTGTGAGTTTTTTGAGATGTCTGGCCATCTTCCAGAAGCATTATCTCCTGATGTTTCACCCACATTTATGGCAGCCATCCCCAGAGGTTGTGAGGTCGGCTGGAAACTAGGCAAGTGAGTTTTATATATCTGTGGAATGGCTACCAGTATTAAAAAGCTCTAAAATCAGGACAGTAAATAAAGAGCAACACTCAGAAAACAGGGGAATTCCTGACATGAAACAATCAGGGCCAGCTAACACCTCCCAACAAAGGATTCCCCCAGGCAGCAACAGCCAGGCTTTGATGCTTCAAGGCCATTCAATGCTAATCAAGCTGGCCAATGGCAACATTCACACTTGCCTCCAACAGACAAGTGTTCTTTCTCCCACCCTGAACATTCCACAGATATATAAACCCCACTTGCCTAGTTTCCAAGAGACCTCATAACCTCTGAGGATGCCTGCCATAGATGTGGGCAAAACGTCGGGACAGAATGCTTCTGGAACATGGCCAGACAGCCCAGAAAACTCATAGCAACCCAACAGTATTCTATATTATGATGTGTGTATTACAAAGTCTATGCAATGTGGCCGACACTCTGCAATGTTATCGAACCCTTTGGTTCCAATAACCTGCCAACTGGGTACAATTTTTTTTAAATGCTCTATGGATTGTCCCCAAATTTACTTTGAGCAAAGTTAGAGTGTTTCAAATATGGATGTATTAAAAACTTGATGCTACTTAATAAATAATAATAATAATAATAATAATAATAATAATATATTATTATTATTATTATTATTATTATTATTATTAATTCTCTAACCAAGATCCACAAGTTGAGGCTCCATTGACACTGCCATATGATTCAATTCAATGCAGTCAAACTGCAATGTGAAACTGGATGATAATAATAATAATATAATAATAAAACTTTATTTATAACCCGCCCCCTCTCCCCAAAGGGAGTATATGACAGTGTAGATGGGACCTTAGGCTGGATCTACATTGCCATATAATCCAGATGATCAAAGCAGATCCTTCACATGATCTGCCCTGAACTGGATTATATGAGTCTACACTGCCATATAATCCAGTTCAAAGCAGAGATAATCTGGATTTTATATGGCAGTGTAGAGGGGGCTAAGGTTGGATCCACAGTGCCATGTCAAAACCAGATTATCTGCTTTGATATGGCAGTGTACACATATAATCCAGTTCAAAGCAGATCATGTGGATTATCTGATTTGATAATCCGGATTGTATAACAGTGTAGCAGGGGCCTGAGAGCCCTTCCAGACAGGCTCTCTATCCCAGGATCTGATCCCAGGTTTTCTGTTTATCCCAGATTATCTGGCAGTGGGGACTCATATAATCCAGGTTAAAGCAGAAAACCTGGGATCAGATCCTGGGGTATATATAGGGCCTGTTTGGAAGGGCCCTGAGTCGTTTAGAAAGAGGGAAATGGGGATTCTGTAAGGGCCCTTCCACACAGTCATATAATCCAGGGCCCTTCCCTCTATATCCCAGGAGCTGATCCCAGGTTTTCTGCTTTAAACGGGATTATATAAATCTGCACTGCTGGATAATCTGGGATAAACTGAAAACCTAGGATCAGATCCTGGGATATAGGGCCTGTCTGGAAGGGCCCCTAGAATATTGTGGCAGAAAATCCCACAGTATCTGCTTTGAACTGGGAGCCCTTCCACACAGCCCTTTATCCCAGAATGTCAAGGCAGAAAATCCCACATTTAGAGTGTGAACTCAGATAACCCAGTTCAAAGCAGATATTGTGGAATTTTCTGCCTTGATATTCTAGGATATAGGGCTGTGTGGAAGCGCCCATGGTTATCTGAGTCCACACTGCCATATACTCCAAAGCAGATAATGTGGGATTTTATTCAGCTGTATGGAAGGGACCTAGGCCTCCTTGCAACAATTCTCATCCACAAAAGAGAAAAATAATGCACTTATTTTTGATGCCAGTTCTGGCAAAGTTTGCATCCCGAAAAGTTCCCAAAACACAATCTACTCACTCAATTTGTTCACCTCAGCAAAGGGAAGAGACTGCAGCCTCGGAGGTTAGACGGTCTCCTTGGGGTCCCATTTTGGAGGATAATAATAATAATAATAATAATAATAATAATAATAATAATATACTAATGAGACAGTGTGCAGGGGTGTGAAGCATCAGAGCAAGCAGAGCATCCCAAAACAAAGCCTGGCTTCCAAGGCTGCCTTCCATTCATAACAAACTGCCAAGCTCCCCTTTGGCCTGGTCCAGCCTTCCTTAGGTTCCCCCTTCATCCTTTTTCTTCTTTCTTCAGAGAGGCCTAGCTCTTCCTTTCTTCCTGCAACCCAATCCCCCCTTCTTCTTTTTTTGAAAAATCCTTCCTTTGCTCCCTTCTGCTTTCGGCTTGGCATCCCTTAACCCCTTCCTTGCTCTCCGTCCCAAGTTTGCCTTGCTTTCCATCCACAGCTCTGCTCTGTTAAGTGGGAAGCCATGCCCACCTCTTACCCCCCCCCCCCCAGAGACCCCCCTTTGCTTCAACTGGGAACCAGTAAACCTTGGGAACTGGGACCAGTCGGTGACATAGGGAGAGATCCAGTAGGCACCCATTGGGCGTGAAAAGAGAAGCTATGAATCGGGCCCTGTGTCATTCATCAAAATGGGCATCCCTTTTGCAAGGGGGGCAACCTAGCGAAGGGAGAGAGTTGGCAGCCAAAGGGTTAACCTCCCCTGCTCCAATTGATTAGTATTGATGGCTTTGGGGAGGTTTAATAGATCCCTTTTGGGGGGGCTCCCTTTGCCCCCTTTTTGCAAGCCTCATTGCATTCCTTCGGAGTGGGTGGCATTTAAAGGAAAACACACACACAAAAGACCTACATTCTTTTTTTTTCAATGGACCTGGGAATCAATAGGCCAAAGGATGAAAGCTCGGGAAACCTGGCTTGAAAATGTCTCCAAAAGCCACTTTGAAGGATCTCAAAACTTTGTAGAGAAGGGAAGGGTCTCCAAGGAAGGAAGGATGCGCCTTTTTGTCCAGCTTTTTGGTTTCTCTTAACAGCTGTTTGGATGTCCCCAGCCCTTGCAAAGAACTCCACAAGACCATGCGAATGTATTTCCATTTTTTTTAATGCAACATCCGCCTGGATGGAGAGGCTCCGAACCAGGATCTCAATAGTTAAAAAGAATTTGGGGGGAGCAGAAATAGAGGAGGAGGAGGAGTCAAGCATACTTTTTTGCTTTTCTTTTTTGCCCAGAGTAAATGTAATCTCTTTGCTTGTTTAAAAAGGTAAGCATCCTCAGCAAAAATCTGGACTAGGCAGAAAGGGAAAAAAATTTCCCATTGGTTTCAATGCTTCTCTTCTGGCCTTCCCCAATTCCTTCCTTCCTTTTTTCTCCCTCCTTCCTTTCCCTCCCTCCTCCCTTCCTTACTTTCTCCTTCCTTTCCCCTCCTTCTTTCCTCACTCACACCTTCTTTCCTCTTCTCCCTCCTTTCTCTTCCTTCCTTCCTTTCCCTCTCTTCCTCCCTTCTTTCTCCCTCCTTTCCTTCCTCTTTCTTTGTTTCTGTATTTCTTCCTTCCTTCCTTCCTTCCTTCCTTCCTTCCTTCCTTCCTTCCTTCCTTTCTCCCTCCTTTCCTTCCTCCCTTCCTCACTCACTCACTCCTTTCTTTCTTTCTTTTTTTCTTTTCCCCCCATTCTTCCTTATTTCCTTCTCACTCTTTTTCTTTCTTTTTCCCTCCCTCCCCCCCTCCTTCCTCCCTTCTTTCCTCCCCCCCCCTTCCTTCCTCTTCCTCTTCTTCCTTCCTTCCTCACTCCTTCTTTCCTTCCTTCCTTTCTTTCTTTGAGTCCCTTCTGGGAGAGAGGACGAGTTAGAAATAAAGTATTATTATTTCTTCCTTCTTTTCCCTTCTGCTTCCTTCCTTCCTTCCTTCCTTCCTTCTTTCCTTCCTTCTTTCCCTTCTTTTTCATTCTGTCCATGTTTTATGATTTTAAAAAAATTATTTGAAAGGACCTTGTGTGAATTGTCCTTTTTCCCTCCTTGATCCTCGGATCTCTTTTGGGGAAAGAAGGAGGGATTGTTAAAAAGGCTGGAGAGGGGGGCAGGAAAGGAGGGAGTGGGAAAGGAAGCATTGGAGGAATAAATCAAGGCCTCCCTGGCCTCCCGATTCATAACATTTCATTAGGATGGAGTCACTCACCTGTAAGTAATTACAGTCGGGCCGGCTTTCTTCCAGACCAACTCAAGATGGGGACAGCCCAAAAGAGGAGGAAAGGGATATATTCTAAACTATGCAAATAAAATGTTACACATATTCATATGTACACAATTCATCTTATTCTATGTATATGCATTTATATATTCTACACTATTACTATATGACTCTATATATATTCTATGTACATTATATATATATATATATATATATATATATATATATATATATGCCATTTTTCACATATTCTGTGTACAATAGTTCCTCTATATCTATTTTCTGCACTATATACCTAAAGCTCTCTCTCTATATATATTCTATGTATATAGTTCATATATCATATATCTATATCCTATATATAGTACAGATATATATGCTATACTATTGAACTAAAATTCTACACATCTATGTATGTAGTTCATATCCATCTATATACAAATATACTACACTATGTGTCTAAAACTCTATACAGATTCTATTTATATGGTTCATAGAGAGATTTTACCCTATATACATTATATATATATAACACTATATATATAAAGTTCTAGACATAAACTATGAATATGGTGAATATATATAGATTTTATACTATATACACACACTATATATATATATATATATATAGTTCTAAACATATTCTGCGTATATGGTTCATTTATATTTATTCTATACAATGTATCTAAAATTCTATATGTAGTCTATGTGTACAGTTCATATATCGAGATATGCTACACTATATATATATATATATATAGTTCACATATTCTATGTACGTAGTTCATATATATACACGCACACACATTAGATTATGTATCTAAAATTCTGCACTATGTATATATGTCTGTATGTATATGTTCTACAGAATTTTTCAGACTTGAAAGTTTCCAAGAAGTTGAAATCCAATTAAATCTCCACTTGTCTATATTTCTTTTAAAATTGACACCAATGTAATTGTTTTGGGAACTGCTTGAAACTTTGAAGAACTCCTGCCCACTTCCTCAAAGGAAGAAACACGATTTAAATTAAATGCGGGTGGGTCAAAAAGTTTTGCCTTTTGGGTCATCAAAACGTTATGAATGAACATGTAACAGCATAAGTTGCTCCTGATCATAGCCTGAGCTGTCCTCTACACAAAACTACTGTTCAACAAAGTCACCATCAATTTGTACACATTTGTGCATCATTGAACCCAGGCATCAAAACCATTTTGGGAAAAAAATCAGGGTTTTTTGCTTTGTGAGCCATGATTTCAAAGCTGTTTGGACATCATTCCAATAATTGAATCTGAAACCACGTAGGTAGTATTTCAGAGGTCCAAACAGGTCGAAGTCAGAAGGGGCCAAATCAAACATTCTTCAAGCAATGATGGATTTTCTTAGGTGCACAACCTTCTTTGGACAGAAATGCAATGACAACTCTTTCTTTGAGCTTCAGATTCATGGTTCTAATCAGTCAACTGGAAAAAAGAAAAGGCTATATCAGTAGAGTAAGGTTACCTCTATCATATCATGCATAGATAGTCCAGTACCTGGGAAAGAAAGAAAAGTTAAAGCGATGGAGGCATTACTTTTTGACCCACCCGTGTAATTTAATTCCTTTTGGGACGTCTTTGGTGACTGTTTTGCAAATCAGTTTGTAAAATGCCACATCCAAAACCGACACAGAAAGGCTTCCAAGAGCAAAGCATGAAAACATGTAAAAATCCAAAATTCGGAGTATTGTTTCTTTTCCAAATAGAGGATTTGGTAGAAAGAAACATACAGGATCGGGGCCCTTTGTGAGCTTTCTGCACAAAGCTGTTGGTTTTTTTTGGGGTTTTTTTGCCCAGCATGGTTTGGTGAAGGAACTCACTCGCCTTTTTGTAATTTGTCAAGCCCTGGTTTACAAAATTCTTTGCATATATTGCCCTGGTTTGCAAAATTCTTTGCCTATATGTTGTCTTCAGGATTTTGTTCAAACGGTCGCATTGGTTCGACCCAAAGGACCACTTTCAGAGCATGAGAAAAGGACACAAGAACAGCTCCATCCTTCGGCACATTTGCTCTCCCCCGAAAGGAGAGAAAAGTCCTGCAATCCCCTCCATTTGTCTGCTGCAAAAACAAGCCTGCAGCTGTTCAGTTTGTGGAGAGACACCTTCAATCTCCTAAACTTTAGCAGAAAATATTTTAAATAAATTATTATTCATAATAATAAATTATTATCATTATTAACATCTTTTCTGCAGACATGTTCTTCTTACTCCATATTTACTCTGCTTCCTATTTGATATTTTTCTGCAGAAGTTTTATTTCTGTATAATTATGATGATGATAAGAATTAAAAGCTTCCCTGCAGATGTTTTATTCATACTATAGAATTATTATTATTATTATTATTATTATTATTATTATTATTCAAAGTTTTTCTACAGACTTTTATTCTTATAATAGAATTGTGATTGTGATTATTACTCAAAGGTTTTCTGCAGAAGTTTTATTCTTATTACAGAATTATTACTAATAATAATTATTGTTAATTAATAATAATTTAATAATAATAATAATTTTAAAAAACTTTATTTGTAATCCACCCTATCTCCTCAAAGGGACTCAGGGCAGTTTCCAACACATAAGGCAAACATTCAATAGCAACAAAAAACATAACAAATTCCATCCAAACAAGACACAACAAAGAAAAGAGAACAACTATTCCTAGAAACTTAATACCAAATAGAAAATAGCCAAAAGAAAATTGGCAATCCTAACAGATAATCCTAACTAATAATCACATAATATAAATGTAAACAAGATAAAAATTTAAAACAACTAAAGCCTTATTAAGAGGTAAAATGCTTACCAATAACTAACAAGCTGGGATCAATTCAAATGTTTTCTGCAGAAGTTCTGTTATGACTACAGATTCTTCTTATTAAAAGATTTCCTGCAGAAGTTTGATTCTTACTACAGAAATATTCCTATTATTACAATGTCTTACTATTATTACAGAATTAGTATTATTATTGATATTACAATGTTTTCTGCAGAGGTTGTCTAATAACTACGGAATTCTTTTTATTATTAAAATGTTTTCTGCAGAAGTTTGACTCTAGAATTCTTATGATGATGTACCATTTTAACTGTTCAGTACATCATTTGGACTCTTCAATTTCTGTCAAATGCCTTCTTTTTTCTAAATTTTTGATATATTATTATTATTATTATTATAAATTCTGCAATCTAATATACAATTATTATTATTATAATGATTATTATGAAAACATATTCTGCAGAAGTTTTGTTCTTCTCATCATTATCATAATTATTATTCAAATATTTATTTTGCCAAAGTTTTAGTCTTACTAACGAATTATTAATCTTATGACTGTTAAAATCTTTTCCACAGAAAATTATTATCAGTACTACAACATTATTATTATTAATATTATTATTATTATTAAAGTGTCTTCTGAAGACATTCTATTACTATAGAATTATTCTTATGATTAAAATGTTCTCTGCATCTGTTTTATTATTAATATTATTGATATTATTAATAATAATTTTATCATTACTACATAATTATTGTTGTTGTTATTATTTGGTACTGCCTCTCACAGCTTCTTTTTTTCATGTCAGGAGTGACTTGAGAAACTGCAAGTCGCTTCTGGTGTGAGAGAATTGGCCGTCTGCAAGAATGTTGCCCAGGGGACGGCTGGATGTTTTTTATGTTTTACCATCCTTGGTGGAAGCCTCTCTCATGTTCCCACATGGGGAGCTGGAGCTGACAGAGGGAGCTCATCTGCACTCTCTCCGGATTCCATCCTCCGACCTGTCGGTCTTCAGTCCTGCCAGCACAAGGGTTTAACCCACTGCACCTCACAGCTCAAGGCAGGCTACAACATAACATACTTCAAATACAGACATAAAACATGAAACCATTCAAATACATCTATTCAAGGACACAGAACAAAGATTCTATTATTCAAGAATTAGGTTATATTAATTTTAACATTAATTAATATCAACAGTGTATTTGCCACCCTCCTATATTTAATTCTATTTTAATGTGTATGTGTTTTAGTTTTAAATTACTAATGGTATGATTTTTAGTGTTAGCCACTTTGAGAGAAAAAAGCAACATGTTATTAATTATTATTATTAATAATAGTAATAATCATTATTGTCTCAAATGGGAATGTTCCTGCTTGATATTTTTCAATATCAATAGCAATACCAGCTTCATTTGCAAGCTTGAAAATCTAGAGCAAACTCCATAAAAATTTAATGTTCTTTCTTAAAACTTATTTTATTATTATTATCCTGCTTTTTCATCAATATGGCTGCATCTAATTCTAAGCACTTCATTTTCACATTGACCAGTATGTCTATGTGAAAGCAAAACTTCCTGTTTGATTAAATTTTCCAACCAAAATTGCACAATAAACTATAGATGTCAGAGCCCATTGTCTCTAAATATTTCAAATCTAATGAAAAAGGATCATCATATCTATACAAATGCAATGCTTTGCAATGGAAGGCGAAAACGTTTTTCAAGCCTTTTGGCATAAGGTGGACATAAGTATATGTTTCTATGACAAGAATTCTTATGGTATAGAAAAATAATAAATAAATTATTATTTCACTTATTTATTTTTGGATCTAAACAAAAGGAAATTATTTCAAATCCAGTCTTATTGGATCACATTGCTGCTTTGAGTCTCCATTGTGGAGAAAAAAATGGGTTATCAATAAACATAATAATGTGTTATCAAAGGCTTTCATGGCCAGAATCACTGAGTTGCTGTGTTTTCTGGGCTGTATGGCATGTTGCAGAAGCATTCTCTCCTGACGTTTCACCCACATCTATGGCAGGCATCCTCAGAGGTTGTGAAGTCTGTTGGAAACTGGGCAAGTGGGGTTTATATACCTGTGGAATGATGTCCAGGGTGGGAGAAAGAGCTCTTCTCTGTTGGAGGCAAGTGGGAATGTTACAATTGACCACCTTGATTAGCATTGAGTAGCGTTGCAGCTTCAAAGCCTGCCTGTTTCTGCCTGGGGGAATCCTTTGTTGGGGGTGTTAGCTGGCCCTGATTGTTTCCTGTCTGGAATTCCCCTGTTTTCTGAGTGTCTGGACAATACTGCTGCATTTGGTGGTCCCTATGTAGACTTGTCCACAGCTGCCTAGTATACAGTAGGCTCCTGCAGAGGTGAGAGGGTCCCTCTTTCCAAGAGTCAAAACAAAGATCCACCCAGAGAAAAAAGTGTTCTTACCATACATCAAGGGAACCACGCACCGCATAGGGAAGCTAATGAAGAAACACAACCTACAGATTATCTACAGACCCACTAAGAAAATCCAACAAATGCTATATTCAGCTAAGGACAAGGGAACCCCAAACGCAGCATTGCCCAGACATGAATCAAAGAACACGAAAGGCATTGCAGACTAATCCAACCAGAGAAGTTAGCCATAGCAGAGCACTTGATGAACCAACCTGGACACAGCATATAATTTGAGAACACAGAAATGCTAGAACACTCTGACAACTACCATGTCAGACTACATAGAGAAAGTGTTGAAATCCCCAAGCATGTGGAGAATTTAAACAGAAAGGAGGAAACCATGAAAATGAACAAAATCTGGCTATCAGTATTAAAAAAAACTCTAAACTGAGGATAGTAAAAGTAGAGCAACACTCAAAAAAACGGGAATTCCTTACAGGAAACAAAGGATTCCCCAACAAAAACAGCCAAGCTTTGAAACTGCAAGGCCATTAAATGCTAATCAAGGTGGCCAATTACAACATTCTCACTTGCCTCCAACAGACAAGAGTTCTATCTCATTCCACAGATATAGAAACCCCACTTGCCTAGTTTCCAACAGACCTCACAACCTCTGAGGATGCCTGCCATAGATGTGGGTGAAATGTGAGAAAAGAATGCTTCTGGATCATGGCTATACAGCTCGGAAAACTCACAAAAACCTAATATTAATAATAGTAATAATAATAATAACGGTCAATTATAATTTCAAAACTAGGTCCACAAGCTTTCAAAGTATGTATTGCTATTAGTTCGTATCCAGAGACAGCTCCAGCTGCTACAATCCTTGCCTTCCCACCCATCGTTTATTAGTATTATTAGCCTTATTAGTACTTATAGCCCACTTCTTCTCTCCAAAAAGAGTGTCAAAGCATCAAACACTCCAAACCATACAATATATACGAGGGGTATTTTTTAAGTTAGGTCCGTTTTGTTGTAGACACTAGTAGTTCGCGCGCATACCGCAACGAGCGCATGCGTCATGTACCGGCATGCCTCGGGAACAACTGTGCTCAGTTTCCGCTCTGTAGCTAACCTGTACGGTTCTGTTCTGTGCAGAAAAAATCAAAGATTTGAGTGTGCGATCAAATCAAATAGTCTGTAATCAAAGAAGGGCAACTGGAGCGGTCCTCATCATGGACGTTGTCACGGCCATCTTTGAATTGTCGTACCCACTTACGCACTTTGCTTTCACTCATAACCATACACTTCACAAATCTGTCGATGAATTTCTGCAGCAGGCAGGTTCCTTGCTGACAAAAACTGTATCACTGAGCAAACCTCACATGCGGAGGGTGAGTTGATAGTCTTAAACATTTTTAAAGCACAGAACAGAACCGTACAGGTTAGCTACAGAGTGGAAACTAAGCACAGTTGTTCCCGAGGCATGCCGGTATACGACGCACGCGCTTGTTGCGGTATGTACGTGAACTACTAGTGTCTACAACAAAACGGACCTTACTTAAAAAATACCCCTCGTACATTGAAAGCCAAAGCCTACAAGCACTGCAATTGAATTAAACCCAGAACTTTCAAAGAAAACACATTCTTCAGATGAAAAACCATTCAAAGAACTTGTTCAACTACATAAAATATTGCCATATGCAATTTACCTCCATTTCTCAATGCTTTAGGAAACCAGAAAGAGATGAAAGATAGAACTTCTTAGAAAGTGGCTTTTTTTCCTTAGAATTTAGTCACCTTTATTACCGAAGAATTGTTTTTGCTTGATTTGATCATTCCTGAAAACACCCATTTCTCCAAGGCTGAGACTATACATTGAACATATTCCAAAATATTCCTCAAGAGTGAGTGAGAGAATGGGTGCATCCACACTGTAGAGTTAATCCAGTTTGATCCCATTTGAACTGCTGTGGCTCAGTGCTAGGGAATCCTGGGAGGAGGTGTTA